TTTCACCGTAGATTACTCCACTGGCTCATAAAAGGCCTGTTCCTTCCAGCTGTAATGTAGCCAGGGTGACAAAATGCCAACCCGGCGGTATGTCCTCTTCATTCTTTCCAACGCATAGAAGGCATTTGCCCCATTCAGACAGCATTGCCATGGCTTCTAGGCCTGTTTTATTTGGTAAAATCTGTCACAGGTCTGCCCTTAATAACTTAAATTACTGTTTGAAATCTTTCCATACAAACACTGGCTCATTTCAAGATAACTTTATTAGTTGTCATATTAAACTAGAACTTTCACTTCAATTTTTACATAGCCTGTGGTTATCTTACTTGCTCTCATTTTTCTCTATTAAAATCTGATGCAGGATCACTGCTCTTAAGTCCGAAAATTGTGCTTGATCTTCCCAACATTTTCACTGATTCAGGCTTAATCTTTCATTTTGTGGAACTCGTTATGTTTTTACATTCATTGATGTTCCTTCAATAAATACCTATAAATCAAGATTTAAAAACTTTTTTCAATGGTGTAGCGGTTTAAACACAATTGACAAAGACAAAAGATTGTACTTATTTGTTTTCTGAATCTGTTGTTTATCTATCCTCTTTTACCTACCTGTACTTCCTTTTTATTTGTTTAAATAGGACTTGTTTTCATGGTCACATGACACTGGTCTCTATCCTGCCTGCTGTTTTGTGCATCTGTGTCATGTTGTTGTTAGCACTGCCATTCCAGAGCTCCAGTGCCCTGTGTTCGATTCCTGCGGGCTGCACCTGTCTGTGGGGAGTATGCACGCTCTCCCTGTAGGTTTTTGTTGCGCAGGTTAGGTTTGACTACTCTTTGACTACCCTGGACTATTTGCTGTGGAAGGCAGCCAGGCTCATAACTCTTCACTTGTACACAAAGAGAAAACCTATGGTGCTTTTCTCCCTCACAGTCAGTTCTGGGACTACTCAGAAATACTTTAGTGAAATAACCATATGAGAAATAATGATCCCCTTTATGATTTTTAGCTTAATTTAAATTATTAAATATTTTCATTTAAAGGATGAGGATGCATTTAATGGATTGATATTAATAAAAAGTCAATAAAATATAAGAATACCACAAATTACATGAAATAGCTGGAAGAGGTATTGTTGGGATAAATATTTATTCAGGGTTGGTTCTATTCAGTTGGTTTTCTAACTACGTGTGACAACAGCAGAATACCCCCAAAACATCTTGGAGCAAGAGACATACCTCTGTTTAACTTCTTTCTACCAGCAAACGTATCTTCATGCAATTTACGGAAAGCCCTCTTCCCTGTTTGCTGACCTCTAGATCTCAGCAAACTTGCTCTTACATGTTGGTATAGAGAAAAAAGCCTGTCAGTCAATCAGCAGTCGCATTCTGTTGCTTTTATTGTTATGGCCTAATCCTTCAGACAGCCAATCTTTTACAACCCCTAATACCAAACATATGTGGGCTCTGTTAAGTCCTCTTTGGACAAGGCTAGACTTTGGCCAGATGTACTATGTTTTCAGACTAACATTGCACTGGGTTTGGATTCTTTTAATGCTATCCCTTATAATGGGTTTGCAAACAGTGGAACTGTTCTGTTAATTGGGGTTGCTATTTTCTTTTCCTGTGCACATTATAGTGTCTTCTCCTCATTATAGGTCAGTCTCCTCTCAGTAATCATTGGGAAAAGACAAACGGAGTAAGAAAGTTTAGCATTATTGGACTGCAATAAATTAAAAAGCACTCCTAGCCTTTATAAACAAAGAACACTAGAACATTTTTATCATGTTTAATTATGTGGAAATCCACATCGACCATTTCAACAACCTGGCACTTCTGATTTAAGTAACATACAGACAAGAGTTGGTTTTTTAAATATGCTAAACATATATAAGACTACCTGCCTTAGTTTAGAATATGTTGCTACACATCCTGCGAATTGTTAAACTACAAAGAACGTTAGATATTTTTTTCCATAATGTCTCTATGTTTGTATAATTTAATACCATATAATTACATTTTTAAGTCCAAAGCCAGGAAGGAATCTATTACAAAAGGCATCTAAAATTAGGCTGTGAGCTGAATCGCTTAGGTAGTTTATCAGATGAAGACAGACCTGGAAAACCTGTGATGTCTTCATAAAAAAGTGATCAACCGGCATAATGATACAGTTTCCAAGATTTTGAATATTAAGCATTATACTTATTACAGAAGTCCCAGTAAGCTTAGGAAAATCTAACCTTTTCAGACGCTCTTCTCCTGAAATATTAATTGTATGCAGTAAAATCAGGTGTTCAAATTCCAGAGCCTTTTGTTTAAAGAGATAATTAGAGACCTTGGCCCTCATCCACTATTTGTCCTGATATCTGAGCGCTAATTGAAGTGCACTGCACTGCAGCACAGGCTAATAGGAAGATTGATAGTGGGAATTCCACTTCTTTAAAGCCCATGGAGGAATGTCTGAAAAGGCCATGACACTGGCTTCTCCCCGAACATCATCCTGGCTAAAAACCGATACCTCCACAGTGATAATATTCCAATAGATCTCAATACAGCATAATTATAGCCTAAACATAACTGCATGGATTGCATTTCACAAACTCAGAATGCATTTAAAGCTGCAGTTAAAATAGTACCCCACCTGTTATATTTTGTAACGTTGCTGTGCATTAACTATATATATAGTATGATGCTGTAACACTTCAGTGTACAATGAAAAATCAAATGGATTTGACCAATTAAAGTGAAATACAAACAAGAGGAGCTATTACAAAAAAAACTGAAATTAAGGGATGTTTTTATTTCATTTCCTACTAACATTTGTATACATTTACAGATACATTTGTATCTGTAAAAATATGTATGACCGTTACAACATAACTGATTGTAAATAAATATCTGCACAAATTACTCAGAATATTATAGGATAAAAGTAAGAATGACATTTGTATTCTTCTGTTGGATCTACTAAACTGTTGAATTAACTGTCACATTGGAAATCCAGTTCAATGTTTTGCACTGTGCTTTGTGGATTCATGCAAGAAGAACATTCCTTATCTAGGACAAAATTGAGAATACTGCTAACTGAGGATAATTCTAAAGAAATCTATCAAACAGAAGATAAAACACAAGCCTTATAATAGTAGCACATGACCAATGATGACATATTATTGACAAAAGAAGTATCTTTTCAAATTAAATATTAAGGCTTTTGAAAACTGAAACACTAGGGTATTAATATGGTTGAAATAAACAGATATTGCAACAATGTAACATGACACTACACTATACAAAACCTATTTCACTTTACCAGCAGCCGTAAAAACACTGTAGAACAAGGCAGCATCAAGACAGAGATGAATCCAGCAAGGAGTTATGAAACTCAAGAAGAAAGGTTCATGTGACATCTGACCAAAACTAAATTTGCAGGAATATAAATAAACTCTGAAATCTTAAGCCCTTAAGTACACCCTCTCCTGAAAAAGGGAGGACAGAAAAGCTCCAACTTCATAAGCAAAAAAAAATAATGCTGAGCAGTGTACAGGTGAATACTTTCACTTCAAAACCTGCCAAACTAACCAAAAGCCTTTATTAACATGTATATTCTTTCCTTCTGGAAAGATTTGTTGTTAAGAAGCAGCTGGTGGGTAGGCTACCCACAGTAACTGCAAACCTAAGCATAAGAAAACACATTAAATAAACATTTGAAAACACTTTAGAAGACGTTCAATAAACTCTTAATTATTTATTAACCCTTCACAGATAATGAATAGATAGTACATGAACTGTTAATAGGTATAAATGTGGTTATTAACCCCTACTTATATACTCTATATATGCTGTAATACTTGAGTGCATTGAGAGTATAAACTTTGAGGTGAAGTGTTGAAGAACACTGCAATCATCTTGTCTCTGATTGTAATACCGTAAAGATATTGAACAAGTTAATTTTGTTGGTGACACTGTAACATAGTGTACTATGCTTGTAAGAAGTCTGTTAAAAATCATATACAGTACTGTATGTTCACTGTCTGGTAAAAGTTAGTAAAGTATTAAAGCTTATCACTCAACCTTGCTACAAAGTGTTACCAAACATTCTTTTGCTGCCTGCTTAGGATGCCTTATTCTTGTTCTGTACTAATATCACAAATTAGCAATTTAATGATACAAAGAATTTTGAATGCTCATGGAAAACAGTTTATACTAAATCATTTTCTCCCCTGCTCAGCACTAATCTCAGGCTCTAAAAACATAGCCTAAGAATGTCGCAGCATAAACCTGCATTTTATTTACAGCTCTTTTTCTTCCTGCAATTTTAACGTACTATTGAGAACAATTCAGTGCATTCAAAGACCAATTTGCAACATAAAAGCAAAAACATAAAGATATTTTCCAACATTTCCTCCTATTTTGTTTTAAAGTATGCAGAATCAGGTTATTTGCAGTCATGGTAACAACACCTACTAAAACAAAAACCTTTTTCTATTGAGTGGAAAACGTTAACAAGTTTATGTCCTATGTGAAACACTTAACAAAATTATGGTGGAAGAATGTTCACTAACAGAAAATCAGGCATTACTGGAGTTTCTTGTGAGCGCATATACCCACACAGAGTCTGGAGGATGTGCCTTCCCCTTTCTGTCCTAAACTGGCCGCCCTAGTCAGTGCAGAGAGAGAAGAGCCAAGTTTCACTGTTGCAAAGGGTGTCAATCACCAATAACTAAGCTCTAGCTTTGTAATACAAACAAGGCAATGACTGATGACACCAAGCTAGGAGGAGTATGACTCTCATTTACTCACTGAAAACAAAACATGTTTGTGCTGTGTTTAGATAGCCAAGTCAATGCACAGCTCTGGGCTGCAGCACATTTAAGTTTACTCAATTTCTTGTATGTTTGGACACGTAAAGACTAAAAATGGAAAAATGAAAAAAAAAGGGAAAGATTTATGCGAGGCTACAGAATACAGAACTCAAGCCCATGTGTCAGATTAAAGTGGCTTACCTTTGTCTTCAATTGTAAAGTAGAAGATATCACTTGTAGCGTTGTCTCCATCACTCAGCACGTAACAAATCTTCATATCATCAATATCGGCTAGTTACACACAAAGAAAAAGCCACATAGTTTAAAGATAATGTGTTTGTAGAAAAGCTGTACCTGTTCAGTCAATACCAAGTACTTAAAATTTCCAAAGTTTACACTCAGGTTTTGTTACAACCCTCATTTTCCATAACTGATATCCTTTTTTAGCAAAGGACAAGAACAAATATCATCCTCAGGTACAAAACAGTTAGAACTGTTAAAACTGTTCCTATCATCAGACACTCTTAATGAAAATGATAATATCTTAAAGAAAAACATCATACTGGTATTCTTCTAGTCATTTTAAATTATTTCTTTGCAAATTGAGAAAAATTGCAAAATTTTTTCTTTGCAAATTGAGTGATGCTTAAAAAACACTAAAGAGCCTTTGCCAGTTCTACGAGTTATCCAAATTTCCCAATCTTCTTTAGTATAATTTTAGTGCCTCTGATCTACAGATTCTAATATGCATCTATAAAAGCTGAAATAAATGCTTACCTTGGGTGAAGGTTCTGATGCTGTCATTCCCAAGAGCTATGTTGATGATGTAGCCATGCAGAGGAGCCTCAGAGATGGTATACTTGAGGACCTTGTGTGGACTGTCCCTGTCTTCAGACCTCAAGACCTTGCTGGTAATCAGAAAGCCCAGGTGTCCAGTGTGCAGGATCCTGAGTGTAGGAGATCCTTTGTTGACGACGATCTGAGGGACGCCGTTGTCAACAGAGTTGATCTGGATGGTCATTGTCTGGGGCTTGCGGGTCTCGAAGACGGTGTTCGGGAAGACATAGAACTCTGTGTGAGTACCATCTGTCACTGTGAAGGAAAAGCTGTCCTCACTGGTCTCTGTGCTGTCATGCTTGTAGGTGATGAGGTTCTCATTGAGGTCTTGCTTGGTGAAAGTGGTAACAGCATGGGTGCCATTGTACAGTAGCTGCCCATGGACTGGCACCTGAGTGATGATGAAACGCAAAAGGTTGTCTGGAGTGTCCCGGTCCTCCACAGTTAACTCGAAGGGGGTGATCAGCTTCACCTCCCCTTCCCCAACCACGAGGTTGTGGATAGTCAGGACGGGCTTTTTATTGTCTACATCAGTGATGGACACTCTGAAAGTGCGGAAAACTGGGTTGTAGCCATCTGTTACTTCAAACTCAAAACTGTCCATCTTCACTTCGTCATCAGATGTGTGGATGTAGTAAATCTTGTTTCCTGCCAGCTGAAGCTGGGTGAAGGTGGTTATGGGAACACCAGGGCTGTCAGTACACTCCAAGTGGCCACGGCTGGGAGCACGAGTGATACTGAAGCTGAGGTGCTCATCAGGACTGTTAATGTCAGTGGTACTCAGCAGATCTGTGGTCAGAGTTACTCTCCCTCCTTCTTTAAGGGTCACACCTTTGTTAATGACATCGGGGAAAACCATGTCAATGCTGCCAATGCTTATGTAGAAGTACCGGTCAATAAGGGGATTAATGCCATCAGTGACATCAAACTTGATGAGGTCGCGAACCCCTTCCTGTCCTGTATGAACATACTGAATCAATCCTTTGTCAATTTCATCTTGGGTGAAGTTCATCTCCAGGGTTATGTTTCCTATCACTTCTCCAAATTTGGTAATGCGCTGAAGGTAGCCCTGCCCTGGCCCATGGCGAATAATATAGGTCAGAGTCTTGTCTTCAGAATCCAGGTCTGTTGCTTTAAGGACTTTGTTGGTTATTGTTTTTGTTTCCCCAATTTCAACTTCAAGCCCGTCATTTATAGTCATTCTTGGAGTTTCATCGTCCACAGGAATAACCATTATGAGGACTTTTTTTTCAACAGTGTGTTTTCCATCTGTAAGTCTAATTTCAAAACTGTCTTCTTTGGTTTCAGAATCGTCGTGCTCATAGACAATGTTAGAGCCTTCCTTGATCTGCTCAAGAGAGAAATGAATAACGGGGACTGTGCCTGTTGTCAGTTGCTGAACAATATTGCCATGTTTGGGAGAGCTAATTATTTCAAACTGAAGATCATCCCCTGGAATGTCGGCATCTGCTGCATTAAGAATCGGTATGTCAATGACAAGACTCATCCCCTCCATAACAACAAATTCACGAGTGAATATTTCAGGCTTTTCATCATTTGTTGGAATAATGACAATAGGGAAAAAGTGACGCTCTGAGAAATTGATGCCATCAGAACAGCGGAAAGTCAGCCTATCTTCAACGGGCTCAACACCTTTATGAATGCTTTGCACATAGTAAATATGTCCCAGGCGGACATCTTTAATGCTAAAAGCAGTAATGGCAGTACCTGCTCTGGACTTTTCTGATCCTGGTGCTGGAGATATGTTTTCGATGTAGCCAGAAGTGGACTGGACTATGATGGTGCACAGAATGTCATCTTTTTCGGTGTCCACATCTTCAGCTTGGATATTTGCTAGTGTGATGACATTCTTTTCCCCTTCCAGCACAGTAAACTGATCACTAACCTTGACAACTGGAGGCATGCTGTCCACAGGGAGAATAGTAACATGCACCCTGACACCCTGGACCTTATTGCCACCAACCACCCACTCATTTGACATATCAGAGATGGTAAGATTGAAAGAATCGTGCTGTTTTAAAGGTCCGATTTCCCCACTTGTGTGGGCATACACAACAGCTCCATTGATGATATCTTGTTGAGTGAATCTTTCAGAGGACACACCATTCACCATAATTTCACCTAGTTTCGGTGGTTCCTCAACAATGAACGTGAGCATGAGGTCGTCAGTGTCCTCATCCCTTCCTTGAATCACATTGGGAGTGATCTCTGTGGCTCCATTCTCCAGAACATCAATTGAGGAGCCCAGCAGGCCAGCGGGGAGCATGATGGTTGGTGTTTCATCATCAACTGGTTTGACGGTAATTTTTATAATGATCGGCAGTTCATGGAACCCATCACTGACATCAATTTTTATTGTGTCACTGGTGGATTCTTCACCACTGTGAATATATCCAAGGCGGCCATTGGCAATATCTTCCAGCACAAATGTCTCTCCAACTGACATATCAACCCCCAAATATTGCAGCAAACCAAACCGTGGAGCCTGTGTCACAGTGAAGGTAATTTTATCATCATCTGTGTCCTGGTCAATGGCATCAAGTTCTGCTTTAGTTATTATGTATGTGTTTCTTTCGAGCACTGTGAAGCCTGTGTTTGTAATCTGGGGGGGCTTGTTATCAACAGGCTGCAAGAAAATTGTAAAGACCCCATCCACCGAATTTCCAGCAGTGTCCTCCACAACAAAATTGAACTGCACTACTCTTGGAGTGATGCCCAGTTCCTGATCTGGGGGCTTGTATGCCACTTTGAGGTGATTGATTTGAGCTTGTGTGAACTCAGTAATGACAATGTTAGAGCTCTCAGTCAGAACTATATCCCCCAGTGGCACTGGGTTGTTTTCATCCGTATCTGTTGGAGGTCTAGTTATGCTGTATTTAAGATCCCTGTCATCTGAGTCAAGATCAGTATAGCGTAAAAATTTCTTTTTAAAGTGTGTTAATTCATACTCTTTCACAGCCATATATAAAGTAGTGCCTGGATAAAGTTCAGGGGGGAGATCATCCACTGGATGGATTTTAATCGTGAACGTGTGCTCCCCAGACTGATTTGGTGGGTCGTTATCATCCTGGACCCGGAAGATGAACTGGTCCATGACAGTGGTGGTGCTATGGGGTCCAATGTGACGGTAAAAAAGCTTTCCATCCAGAACATCCTGCTGAAACCACTCCGTCACCACCTGTTCAAACATCTCGTCCGTTTCGCTGAATTTCCAGCCTGACAGATCTGAAGGCTGCTCTGCTTGGCGCAGCAGCAGCTCGCCAAGTGTTGAATAGGGAGGCTCTACAATAAACTTAATGGTCGAGTCCTCCGAGTCAATGTCAGTTGCACTTAGAATGAATGGTGAAATCTGCATGATTTCATTCTTGAACAGCACCAGCCCAGTATTAGCATTTATGATTGGGGGTTCATCGTCGGTGGGTGCAATGGTAATTGGAAACAAAAACTCAACTTCATTAGTGCCATCAGTCATACGGAAAATGATGTTGTCACTGTAAGTGTCACTGCCATCATGCTGGTACACCACAACACCTGCATCCAAATCAGCAGGGGTAAAAAATTTCCTCCTGGCTCCTAAAACTGTTAATTCACCATGCTTTAAGCCATCAATAACAGTAATTCTCACGTCTTCAAGATTATCTTCATCACTGATTTCCAAATTCTGGGCACTTGACAGTGCTCTTGACTGCCCCTCAAACAGAAGCTGTCCTGTGTTTTTAGTTGCGACTGGAGCTAAAGTGTTCATGGGTTTAACAACAATCATGAAGGCAAAAGTGTCAGACACAGCACCCTCAGTGTCAACAACTTCAATCTCTATCTGAAAAATTCTCTCCACATCAGAATCTACAGAGGGGGGCTTATATGCTATTTTCAAATCTTTAATGTCACTCTGATAAAAAGATGTAATAGGCAGATTTTGATCATCAGTGCTGATAATGTACCCGTGCTGATAGCCCAGGGGTGATGTGATGTTAAAAATTAAGTCATCTGGATCAGATTCAACATCCTCAGCAGCCAGCATATCATTGGTTATAGCTGTCATCACAAACTGGTCAATTTCCATCATCATCATAGCAACAAAACTTGGCTTAGGGGGGGTGTTTTCTGTCCCTTCTTTGATTCTAATCATTATCTGGAAATGCTCCTGCTTGACAATGTTTCCCTCTTTATCCATCAGCTCCACCAACATGGGGATGTAATCTCTGTTTGGCGAGCTGGTGGTGGAGGTATGCTTATAGCGAACACCCAAGTTTACAAATTCATCACAGTCAATCATCTGCCCATTGGCGGTGTGATTTAAAAGAGAGCCATACCTGGGGAGACCTCCTGCGCTCATCAAGGTGGTGACCTTGCATGATTCAGCACTGCCATCATAAGCAAACTCCAAGCCCTTCCTGTCAATGGGATTGCTGATGCCATTCAGCTTGTCCACGACCAGAGGCATATTGCGGGTTAAAATCTCCAGTTGCTGAAAAACAACTTCCACCTCCAGCATGAAAGGAATGACAATGGTGTCGGTCTGGGAATCATACCTTAACTGCAGCCTCACTCTGTCCTTGTTGGGGCTTCTTGATCCAAAGTGGGTGTATTTCACCTCCTCTGCCCCAAAAGCACAGGGGAATTTCTTTGGAGACAGCATTCCAGGTCTCTGAGCCAGGGGGTCGTTCTCCAGCACTGTGATGTAGCACCGGTCACCAGGCTGCACTTCAGTCACCAGGTCGTTGATTGGGTCTAAATAGACTGATCTTCCAAAAGGTACCCTCACTCCATTGTTGGCCACCAGTATGGACTCAGAATTAGGTCCCGGCCTGGGGCCGAAGAAAAACGCTGGATCAAAGTTTTCTGCCCCTTCAGCTGGGAAAAAACTGTAGCTCAGTGCAAAAAGGGCAAAGAGATACTTTAAAAGTACAGCTTTGGAAAGCCCAGTCCTTTGCAGACAACCAGCCATATCCACTGCTAGTTGCCCCGCAATCTGTATATTTCAAATCCAACCTATCTCAGTTGGTTTATCAGAATGATAAAAAAGCACCCTGTCTTGCAGGATGATGTTCTGTCTCCCTCACTCCTCCGGCTTTCAACACACACATGGGACAAGTGCTCTTCTAATTCACTAGAGCTCTGCAGGTAATACTTAACCAGTAGCCCCTGGCAGCCCCAGGCTCCACCCTCTGACAGCCCCATGGAGATACCTCCTATCCCATGGCTAATTAAAGAAAGCGCATTGGACAGCCCAGCTCACACTCCACACACCCAGCCCCCTACTCCCTGAAAAGCACCAAGTATTCATATTATTTCTCTTTAACCCCCCGCCTCCTAAATTCAAAAAGGGATCCTTTCATTGTTCATAGACTCAAACATAAAAACAAGGTCAGGAAAAGCACGGCTCGTTTATTTAATCCTCCCTTGATCTAGCAATCAATCAATCAATCAATCAAAACGTTGTCTGCAAAGGTTTGTCTATTTTCATTCATTATCATAAAAAGCGACAAGTTTCCAACTGGGCAAATGAATCGCATTCCTTATCTCCCTCCCACTCCCCTGCGCCTCGGATAGGATTCCACTCATTCACAAAACCTCTGCACGGCTTTTCGACAGTGTTTTAGGATTACAGGTGGAAAAGAAATGTCCAGTGTTTTTGTGTTAGGATTTGTAAAAGGCAACCATAATATTTAATTTAACTTTTTTTAAAGGAGAAACTAGATCTAGGTCGAACTAGAGTTAAGTGTATTACGTAAAGGAAAACGAAGGGTTTTTTTTCTATTAAAAAATACATTAAATCTAACTTCAAGGATTATGATCTGCAGCAGGAACCATGTTGGCGTTACACTATTGAAACATTCAAGGCTTAAAGGTTGGTGCACGGCGGTCTCAAAAAAAATAAATAGCACATTTTAACTAATACAGATTATTCATATAACTTACTTTAATAAAACGAAACTTTTTATTAAATCATAGCCGTATATCCATAGCCACATTCACAGTCTGTATATATCGTCTATTTGCAAAAAAATAATCTTTATAGTTTCACCACGAAGTGCATCACGGAAATGAGATATTTAATATTTTAAATACATTTGACTTTAATTTTCAGTAGATAAGAATCCTGCAGTAGTTCAGCTTGTGTGGACTGAAACAACCACAGAAAATGTAATTATTTAGCAAATGAGTGCAAATACATCTATTTTATTAACATCTTAGTTTCTAAATAAACATCCAACCTCTTCGCTTCCCCCCCTCGAGCTGGATTTGAATGCAGAGAAAACGCTGACTTGGACGCCCTCTTTTGGTAAAATAAAGAGGTGCAGGAACTACCTGCCCTCAATGGTTGATGATTGAGACTAATTACAGAAAATGTACCGCCACATAATTATGAATTCACATCATCGGCAATTCAGTATATTATTATTTCTGGGTGACAATGTGGCACAATGGTTTGCATTGCTGCCTTGTGGTACTTGGACTGGGTTCAATTTCTGTGGTGTTATCTGCGTGCAGTGTATTCTCCCTGTGCTTGTGTGGGTTTTCTCTGGGTGCGCTGGTTTCCCCCACCTCCCAAAGAATACTTTTAGGTTAATTGATTTCTGGGACAACTGGCCCTTTTACTCTGTGGACTGTTTTTGTTACATTCTTACCTCCTTGTTTAGATGTGGGTTATGGAGGTCTGTAACCAGCTATCCACATTGTTAAATGTGTTGCCCTGCCTTCTTTCAAGACAAAGCTGGATTAAATACTTAGTTCAGTTAGATGCCAATAACTAGATGACAAAGAATGACGTTCTCATTTTAAAACCTTTCTTGTGGTCTTGTGATTCTGCAAAGAAGATTCAGTGTTGCTTCAAGGGGACATTGCAATGTGTAACAAAAGTTGTTTCTATTATACTGTATTAGTCTTAAACTACCTTCCAGGTGGATCACAGTTTTATCACAAATGACTCTTTGAAGTCTGGTTTATGAGTTTATATGTCAGAGGTGACTGCTATAGTAATTTCACAGTGTGGCTCATGTGAACAGTGGGGTCTTTCAGGGAGTCTGATGTATGGTGATTAACCATACTGCTTCACTTTGTCACACTGAACTGTCACTTCCAAGAGCAGAACTCAGGCAGACCTTCTCCACAAATTTCATTTTGTTCCTCTAACAAGTGCATAAAAACTCAGCTGCAACCATTACAAAGGATAAAGACACTCAAAAAGCATTAAAATCTGGAGACCCCACACTTTTTGGCACGGCTACTCTACATGGCCAGAGAACTTAATTTTTTTTTCAAAAGCCGTTGTATTTCCTGCATTTTTGTTGACGTGGTGACGTGGTGACGTGGCAGTGTCGTGTCCTGTGTTTGATTCTGGACATGAATGTTTGTATGGAGTTCTCTTGGTGTTTTCTGGTTGCTCTTGTCATGACGCACGTCCCAGAGACATGCTGGTTAGGCGTGTGAAAGGGGTGGCATCCAGGCATGGTCTCTCAGTTCCTCCTAGCATACCATGCTTCTGGCATAGGCTCCATTTTGGTTAATGGATGGGTGGAATATCAGCATAGGCAATGTTTTGGGATTAAAGAATTCTTTCCTAAGCACAGATGTTTTTTTCTATTTATTTTATTGTCCATAGAACTCAAATTCAACTTTGCCTATCACCCTGAGCCTATTGGAACTCTGCCACAAAATGCTTAGCATTGCATTATTAACAGACTGTGGCTTGTTCACACATAAACCATCCACATGTTGTTAAGATTTAATGCAATGTCAAGAGACATGGCAAGTATATCATGTATCTGAGACACCGGTTGTTCAGGTCCTGACTGTTGTCAGTCGGGAACTCAAAGAAAGTGCAGACAGACAAAATGAGCATGTATATATATATTTATACTTCAGAGCATTAATCCAGCAAGCATCTCATTCACATTTCATAACTACTTCATGATCAATCATATGAGAGTGTTGTATGCACTGCTCTTACATACTCAGGTACAGCTTTTTTCAAACCACTTTCTAGGTTCTCATCAGATTTCAGGAGCTAGAAAAGGCTGAACCTGGTCAGCACATGGATGAAAGTCCCCAGGGAGATATAAATGGGCTTGGCAGACCAGTAGGTGGCGCTCTTCCGAATGCCAATGCCTCATGATAATGGCAGGAGATACTGTGCTAAAGCAAGTGCTATTCTTCAGAGGAGAATATACGGCGAGGTTGTGTCTACTTGGTCATTATTGATGGTACTGTTTGTAAAAGTATGTGCTGACCAGATTCCACTCTACACTTGTATAATTTGACCAATCTAATGTTCTCTCTTGGAGATGGTGTAGCAATATTTCCTTTGAGCTTCACACATGAACTTCAGAGGTGGTTAAAATGGGATCCCTTCTGTTTGTGAGGTTTTTAAAAGCACTTTTTAAAAATTATTATTTCACTAGGAATAACAACACTCAAGAAGAAAGCGTCATGAAAGGATTATGGAGTGAAAATTTGGCTTAACCTGCTTGGCTGAGGGTTGTCCTCCTCGCTGTAGGATGAGGAGGCCAAGACCCCAATTCAGGGTGACCAAGGGGTAGTAGTAGTAGTGGTGGGGTGGAGATGGGATGCAAAAGATGTATGAGAGGGAGAGATGGGGATCACATAGTTATTCATAGTGTTTTAGGAGAGGAAATGACATCGGGAGTAATTGCTAATTACTGACGGCTGAGTCTGATTGAACTTGTTTGTTGTCATTCCTTCCAAATTTTCATTACAAACTCCATTTAATCAAATAAGTCATTTAAGAACAATACTTATTTGCAAGAGACTGGTGTAGAGTATTCAATTACAAAGCAGTCTGATCTGTGTATATTTCAATTTGCCCACTCTAACATTACCCTCATTGGATTATTCTTAAATTTCCTGGAATATGGGCAAATGGGTAACATTATTTTAAGTAGTGGTTCCTGTGCTGACAATGGCACCATGAGCATTAGGTACAAACCCAACAACGAATAAATTCTTGTTAAAAAAATCAGCCTAGATACAGAGGAGTACTTTCACATTGCTGCACACAAAACACAAGTCTGTGTTGTCTGTAAAAAGAAAGACAGACCAGTAAGAATGTATCTGTCAGGGAACACAAACCTATTGGAGGAAAAGAGTCCATTCATTCTGTCTGATGGCTGTGTTTGAAGGTGAGCTGTCATGAAGGATTAAAATGAGAAATGAATGCAGTTGTTCCAATCATAAGTGGGATTCCAGATGCAATTGCCTTTCTTTAAAAAAGACTGTCCTAACTGTAGGTCCCTGTTCCTATCAGACATTTAAATGAAGAAATATGTAGCACATTTTAAAGATATGTGATATTTTCCTCTAAAGATAAATTGCAAAACTGTCATGTAACATGTTACAGTGTAGGGGACTTACAGTGGAATGAGAAATCTCCTTGGCTGTCTGCTCTAACGTCACCTTTGTGTGATCCCCTGACAAAAACCCCTGGGAGGCACAATTTGCTTCAGTTTACCAGCTGTACCAGTGTGACCAGCTATGGTGTTTGGTGTTGTAAGGCTATTGCCAGTAGACTGTCTGCCAAAGTGAGGCTGGGCAGCTTGTGCACTAGATGAAGAGCATTGGTCTTTATCTAATTACTTGGATACTCTTAATTGATCTCCTTTAACCTTGGGCAGACAGTTACTACAATATTGTCATCTTACCCAGTCAGAATAAGTCTAACATTTTATTAACTTTCAACAATTTCACAGTAAAAAAGATACAAGCAGAAAAAAAGACAGTAACACAGCAAATGTGTTATAAAATAATTATAATTATTATTATTAAATGCTTTACAGCATTTAAACAACATATAACATGACAAAAACTGAAAAGAAAATTGCTTTTTTTTGTTCTATAATTCTTTACTGTATGTAGAGCAACATATAGCATCATTTGTGATGCTGTTATAGTATTTGTTGAGAATAGTAGAAGATATAGCATGTACTGCAAAATAAGTTCAGAATATTGGGTTTACCTTTTATTATCAGTAAAGGTTAAAATATGAGTCTATACTGTATATTCAAGGTAAATAGATGTTTAAAAAAAGCTTCTTATTTCTAATTTAGCTATTAAAAAATAAAAGATACACCACTGAAAAATCCATGGAGAGGTCATTGATTCAACAATCGA